TGGGAGTTTAACAAAAACACCCCTCCAACTCGCCTTATTTCTACATCTGGAACAGGTTTGTCTCCTGGCCACCACTTGCCACAGCCAGCCGCTCTCCCTCCCACGCTTTACACAACATTGTTCTATATCATCACGGTAACTTCCAAAACGAAGCCTAAAAATAATATAAGTGAAAACAGTATGAATACATTGGACACATTGTCATTATTTTCATGTTCCCACAACAACAATGCGATCTTGACTGGAAGAAAGAGAATACAACTATAACCCCACACACTGCATCAGATTTTGACCTGGATGCCTTGTTCCACACCTCTCTATAGAAGAGGGATTTTCCTCAGATTTTGGTGAAATATGGGAGAAAGATGTACACCTGAAGTATTTGCATAGAACTGGGATTCTGGGTTATACCAGGAGCAAATCAGTTCTCAGCTTAAAATAGTAACTGTATATATTAATTATTCAGTATTCTCATAATTATGCATGGTGTAAGGACTCATTCTGTGCATAACCTGGATCACAGAAAGAAAATCACTTTGCTTGGTTATGAGAAAATAAAACCTTACTGAAATGCTGGACTTGTGTTTGTTTTGTCTTACATTACCTGTCAGCCAGTGGACTTTGGAACTAAGCTATGTCATTTACTTAGGTAACTACTAATATCTGTAACATTTGATAAAATCTGTTCACAGTTGCATTTCTGTTTCCATTCCTTTTAATTAAAAGTGAACTTATCCAGTAACCTATGATTCCAGATGAATAGCCATTTTGTGCCTAGTAAACATATTTATGAATGTTACAGCAACTGGATGTAATTTTCTGTATAGAAAATTCTATGGATGTTAATTTCTGTATGAAGCAAACAAAAAGATCAGACTAAAATGGGAGAAATTTGACATTTTTCTCAGCAGACTGCTAATACTGCATCTCCCATTAGCTATGAGTGAGTTGTGACTGTTTCAACAACATTCCATTAAACAGTTCACTCAAGGGCTTCTAAAAACTTTGAGAGTTCTTTCTTCTGATAAAACTAAACAAGAAATAACTCATTAGTTATTTTTCATAGAATAATAGGATGGCCTGTGTTGGAAGGGACCTTCCAACCCCCCTGCTATGGACAGGGACACCTCCCATGAGACCAGGCTGCTCAAAACTCCATCCAACCTGGCCTTCAACATTTCCAGGGATGGAGCATCCACAACTTCTCTGGGCAACCTGTTCCAATGCCTCACCCGCCACACAGTAATAAATAAAAAAAAATATTTCTCTTGGTTTATGAGCTCATCTACACATTACTGTACTTCTAAATGCAGTTAACTGGTAGTTTTCTTCTCCTGATGCAATGAGAATTCTGTAACTTGCTCATAGGTCTTGATCTAACAAAGCCTTTACATTGCCTCACTCTTCACTAGTGCAGAGTTCAAACACTACGACAGCTCATAATTAAACAAAATACACATCACCGTCATAGTTATTAACAAACCATTAATTTTAATTCCAAGTAGCTAATGCTCTTCAATTAGCCACATGGATTAAAATCACTAACAATTACATCACGCAAATAAGTTGGATCATTTTCCTCATGCTAACGCTTCTGTCTCTATCCTTCTAACCCACAGAGCATACTTTGTCATCTGTTCATAATACGTATCTGAGCACCATGTCAAAACACTGGAGTAGGAAAAACAGAAGGAAAAAAAGGGAATTCACGCACAACCCTGCGCTTTTCGCTTTAGGTGAGCGCCCTCTTGTGATACAGATCGAGATGAGCAGCTGCTCCGTGTTCATAAACCAGCAGCAACACGACGGACGCAACAGCCCACGCGCGGCGTGACTGCGAGGACTGAGGAGCGGGACAGTTCAACTTGTAAAGCTCTCTTCTGTTCCAAAGAATTAAGGAACTGTGTTAATTTTAGCCCGAGCTAAACAACAATTATAACAGGGTGTAAGATTATTCTGTCAGAACGCCCAAAGGATCGTAATTAAACTTACAGAAGCAGGACGGTCAATATGCACTCTTCACGTGCCAATTAGCCGTCTGATCTTAAAACTGTAAAACAGAAGAATCAGATAAGATTTCATAAACAAATTCAGCTGACCAGATACAGGCTGGTTAAAACCAAATATTGGAACAAACACACCATATACGTAACGCGCCTCTTCAATTTCTGTACTCGCTACTGGTTGTTTTATAAAAGCAAATGGGAACCTGCCAGCTCCTGCGACCGCCTCGTGGGGCAAGGGCCAGTTCCAGGGAAGCTTCCACCTGCTGAAGATTCACTGGCAGTCCCTAGTAAAGATGCAAAGCTGTCCCTGATCTCCTGCTGCTGTAACTGCCTTTTCTCAAATAATGTAAAAAAAAAAAAAAAAAAAAAAAAAGTAAATTAGGTCTCTCCTGATAGCATGTCTTCGTCCCTCCGACGCAGTTTTGGGTTGCACTCCTCAGCCCCACAGGCAGGTTGCTGCTATTCCCTGAGGACAATCCCACAACCACTTGCGTCCACAAAAACATCCCGAAGAGCCCTAGCCCTGTCGGGGACCTCGGGGACGCACGCTGTTACCAACAGCCTAATGCCAAACTTTGCGGGGCAGGGAAAAACAATCCACGAATAGGCTCTTCCCAACCAAGTAGCCTGTGTTCCGGCGGGCTCCTCCCTC